CCATCATTTACTTTTTCCTTCACAATGAATTTGGTAGTTTCGATGTGATTATGTTCATTTTCTTGGATAAGTTAATTAATTATGAGTTTTTTTAAGAGTGATTTGATTAAATATAGTAGTTCTTTCGTGTGTTTTCTGTAAATAAGTTATATTTTTGTTGATAAAATTTTGACTTTTTATAAAAGTTAACCAAATCCTTCGGATAAGATGTTTTTTCCGGATATTGACTAGTTGTGGAAGTCCTGTAAAGTTTACTCCTACTAGTCCCAAAAGGAGAAGGCTTGACAATGTGTGGGAAAATATATTGTATGTTAATGTTCAACCTCAGAGCAATTATTATGCATGCAAGCTGTCGGGGAAAAAAGTACTTTTGATGTTTTGCAGAGATTTGGTGTGTGACAAGGTGATGCTACAACTAACTTCTCTTGATATTCTGCTTTTCTTGGACGAACGAGTTGTGAATCATCAGTGATGTTATAAGACTTACACCAGAAGGCAAAATTGTAGCGTCTTCAAATTAGAAACAACAGAAAGCCAAATATGTGATCAATCTGATCCACATGTATCCTCACAACCTGACACTTTCATACGATCTTGCGCTCAGTTTCCTCCGTTCCCCCTTGTAGTTTGGATATGAAAACATGTTTTTTGTGTAAAAGCAAAACCTTTGAAAAGGATAGAAAACTTCACAAAATTGAGTCGCCTGAACGTGTTGACAGTCTTTTGAGGTGTGCTAATGAGAGTAATCATTTATCCATGGTAAAGAATGGGAGTACAGATTTATTTTCAAAAGCAGTCTACCTGTCAGCATGCATTACCAAGTACTTATTGAAGTCAACACCTGTGAAATCAGGTAAAACAGTAACTGAAGAATTAGAAAATGAATTTGCTTTCAATTCATTGATAACGATTGTTAATGATGATATTTTCTTCCATAAATAGGCCTTTCTCATGTAGCACATCCTCGGCATATACCGATCACTTTTACCCAAGAATGTCTCTGATGATTACCCATCTGCCAAACTCCAGACCAAACTAACTAGTTGTTATGACACCTTACAATTCAGACACAGCAGGGACAAGGGATTTCAAATATAGAGTTCAGCTCTGAGCTCACTATAGGGGATACCATATCTGCTGCAGGAAAATTGAAGTCTATGTTAAGACTTTCAGAATTACACCCAGGTGTGTCTGAAGATATCAAGGATACATTAAAAGAAGAAGAATTACTTCACTCTGCCGCAAGCGCTCTTAGAAGCTATGGAAAAGATGCCCGCATCGCTTTTTTGAAAAATCACACAAAGGCGCTTCTGAACCGTGTGTTGTCTCTAAAGATAAAAAAGAATCGTAAATGTATGGCTATTACAAAATCAATCGTTTCTGTAGCAAATTCAACATTTCGCCCATTGCATTTGGGATTGGCCGTGCAGTTATATCATGACTATGGGAATATGGGTCACGAACATTGATAGAAACTTTGTACTCACATGGCTTTTGTGTTTCCTATGCAGCGGCAAGACTATACCCGACAAGCATTGCCATGCACGAGTTTGACCGAATCAAGACGGTATTTACTCTCCAGATGGCATTGTTTCAAAACACCAAGTGGGTGTTTGATATAAAAAGGTACCGACAATAAAGTCATCAACACGGAGACAATTAAAAGTGAGGAACGTTTCATTCCATGGCACAAGCAGACTTTCAGGTTTGTCAATCTACAATTGATTCCAGTTTGCATCTGATTAAAGTGAAAAGAGGTCAAGATAACACTTTTCAATTTACTGACAGTGCATCATCGTTGGCGGCTGTTTCATTATACTAAAGGTAAGAGAGGTCTTCCTCGCGTTCCGAATGTTTCAAATACATTTCAAATTGTGCTGAAAATATGGAAAACACATCAGATATTCCTTGGGTAATTTTGCGCTCCATGTTAAGATATATCGGAAATATTACTGTTAAGTCAGAAACGTTTGACCATCAAGTTATTTCATTTGAGACCAGATATAACAACGCTTTCTGACTTCAGGCTTGAATTTTCGGCCGGGAAGACAAAAATGAATAAACCCCCAACATTTTTCAAGGGACAAATGTCATCAGATTACTTACAAGATTGTATTGGTACCTGCAAAGGTAAATCTCTGTGCTTAAAAGCGGTGTTTGCTTTGAACAAACTCTGTCCTGCACCGAACTAGTTTGTGTCATGAACAGGAAGTGTGTTGTAGTGCAAATACGCATACCATGACGAAGAGATTGATCCATATCCCTCTATAATGAAGACTAGAGCTATTGTATGTAGCTTTTAATAGACAAGTTATATAAGGGTCTTGACCGATTTTAAATTACAACATTAGCAAATTGGCATTAAATTGTATTTTTCATTACTTCCCTAAAAAAATGATGAGTCTACACTTATTTACCAGGATAATGCAACTAAGACAATGTTCATGCACCAAACTGAGTTTGTTTTACACTCAACCAACCGCTAAATCAATGCATGTCACACTTATGATTTTTTTAACCTCGCATTCGCCTCGGTGTACTATGATTTTTTTTGTGTTATAACTGATCTGTCCGGACTTTGCAAATACACAATATTTATAACTAGATCCTAATTTTCCCAAAATACACATCATTTTAGATGCAAAATTAAAAACATTGTTTCAGCGCTTGAATTTTGTTTTTTTCAAAGATAGAAAAAATATTTAATAATTTGATAAACTGGTGTTTTATAGTTTAGAAAATAATTCTGTAATATACTGTAGTGAAAAACTATAAGAAATATGAAAGTTGATGGATGTAAAAAGGTCAAGGCCACTTCTACTTTTGCTATGTCATAAATGGAAAAAATCAGGAGGTTCCAGATTAACGCCATTTTGTAATAGCAGCTCTTCATATAAATAGTCAAATTTGTCGTTTTAACATCCTTTGCAGCATATGCTTATGATTGAACCGTTTTTGCAGCATTCTAATGAATGAATATCAGAAAATTTCTCCTTTTTGTCCTTGTGGTTGTAATACTGATATTTTTAGGCCTGACCTTTGACCCCAATTTCACAAAAATGTGACCACTCTGAAATTTTACGACCAAACTTTTCTTTTTGTACACGTTTTCCTCTTTCCATCGATATATAATTTAGGTGTGTGTTCTTCCGGAACATTAAAGTTTTAAAAAATTAACTCTGGTTGCAGTACTATAAGGATAAAAATAAAAAGATGTGGTATGATTGCAAATGCGACAAATATCCATCAAAGTTCAAATTAATTTCAAATAAAATTGAAAGATGCCAATATTTTCCCTTTAGTTAAAATATTACGTAACGGCAATAAAATTCTGTTCTTTTTGGTACTTCAAGACGGACAGTTTTACACAAATTAAAAGCTTTTTAAGTATAAAGTTATGTCGATACTGTAACAATAAAAAATGTCAATATTTTTTTTTTATATAGTAAAAGCCTGTACTTGCCTGATAAATTCTCTTTTTATAACTTAGGATGAATTATTTGACATAAAAGGGAAGGAATTATTTCGACGGAATGATTTTATAAAAAGTTATTTCTGTGAAAACAAAGTTTCATAGATTTATGTACGTCGTCTGTTTTATTTCAAGTCTTGAATCTCTGCTCAGTTAAATATACCGTAATATATAATGTTGACAACATATAAAACTTTCTTTATTTTTCTTATTTTAAAGTTTTGCAGCATTCAATTATCTAATAATTTCTGAAAATTCTGAAATAAGCCATTGTAAATAAAGAAAATGGAACTGTTGAATGTTGTTGAAATCAAATGAAGATTAACATATTTCATTAGAATCAAATAGAACGTACGTTTTAAAAAGTTATGGTTTATATTCAAGCTTTAAAACTACAAATCATTCTACTGTGACCTGACTATAGGTGTTGCTGTTTACCTTTACCTATTGTTCAACCAGATTGTAAAATTGACAATACAATTAGAACATTTAAATTGACCAGTTGGTATTGTTAGAGTTGATGAATATATCATCCCTCATGCATTTAGAATCTACCTGGATGCTGTCAACTCACTTCACCTGTTCAATTGTAACTGTTGTAGTGTTACTGAGATAGGTCTTTCAAAAGTTATCTATGTGGCATTAAGGCTCTATTTGTTTTATCTTTGTTAAACATAACATGCATACAGTTTAAATTAGTATATATGGTAGAAATAAAAAAAGAGTATGACCACAAGAATCAAACTTATTTCATGTTCTAATATTTGCTAAAAACTGCTGATATTTGTCAAAAATTCTTTTCCCTATGCTTTTTATTGGAGAATCCTAAACAAGTTAAGGACATAAATATTGTAATTACAGTCTATTTTCATTGAAATGAATGTATTCCTTGAAGTAATTGGCCATACAAATGCCTAAGGAATACAACATTTAGTAAGAAAAAGAGAGATTTTCATTTTACTGTCATTTCAAATTTTGGGAGTGAGCAAGCCATAACACGAATGTATATGTTTTTTTTTCTCTTGTAGGGTATCTAATTGAAGGTAAACAGCAACACCTATAGTCATGTCACAGTAACAAGAAAAAAACGTTAATTATAATTTTCACAAATAGTTAACAGGAAGAGTAAACGCGCATTTTCTGCGAGCACGTACAGATAGAGATGTGAAATCTGTAGTAAACGCCCGTTTACTACTTCCTAAACGGACACAGAGTAAACATGCGTTTACTCGAGTAAACATTAGAAATGTCCATTTTGACCGCGTTATTGTAATAATACAAATATTTGCGTTTAAATAGTAAACACTACGGTTGTATACACCATTTATTATCATATATGACACATACATACGGTATATTAATAATTTTATCCATTTAATGACAATCAAATAATAATCAAATCAACAAATTAATAATTGAAATTAATTAACTGTGTAAGAAAGAAACCAAAACACATTGTACAATTTCACCGACTTCTACAGCGATCAATATTATACAAGCTTTAAATAGATCAATATACCTGTGTGGATTTAATTAGTAACCATGATACATACGGATAGTCTACTGTAAACTAATCACTCTTTACAACACAAGTAATCAATGAGGTAGTCTACGTTCGATTGTTTTTTACAAAACATTCTAGTTTTAACAGATGGACAGGTTAGAAGCAATAATGGACCAAACAGTCAATTGAATAACACGTAAATAACAATGACTAACCTGGTAAGATTTGGTAAACATCGACGTACTTTATCATGAACTTGTTTTGTTGTCACTGTTTTATATCTGCATTTGGCTATAGTGGTTAAACTTTGAAACAGTCGCAATAATATAGCATTTATTACACAACCAAATCAACTTATTGAATACCACCAACTTGATCAAGTAAATCAATGAACCAAGTGTATCTTCATACGTTGATTTCTTTTTTTTTAATTGTAAACAAACCTTTATTTATAGACTGGATTGTTGTTCCTGACTACGCTTGACAGATACATTAACTAGCCAAAGGTTACTTTTGTACTACCTTTGAATAATCCTAATGGCCCAAGCTGCAGCTTCGACTTGTGAAATGTGTACTGCCGGACCTGGTGAACATTATTGTCAGCAGTGTAACCGGTTATTTTGCGGCAGCTGTAAATTATCTCATTTACGCACACGGTCTCGTAAAAACCACACCTTCTCAATTGGACTAAACATCAACCAGGAAGCAAAACTTATCCTTTGAACAGAACACGAAGAAAGTTCCTTATCCTACTGTCATGATTGTGATACCCCTGTGTGTAGAATTTGCACCTTACAAAAACACAGCCGTCATCTCATGACAGACCTTAATGAATCAACGTTGAAACTCAAATCTGAACTGGTTAAGAACATTGAATCAAAAGTAGCAACGTCCAATTTAAACCTTAGAAAAATTGAAAGCGATACAAAAGCCTACTGTGAGGAAGTCAAAGCTGTCATCAAAACCATAACCGAGGAAGGGAAAACTTTGAAGAGACTAATTGATAAAAAAGTAGATAGTTTGGTTAAAATAGTACAGGATGGGGAACAGAAAGCATTACAAAGTATGTCTGTTTTAATCAAATTTAATAGGGGACTGTTAGAAAACTGTGAACAATGGGAAACGAATGTCAAACATATGGAAGAAACAGCAGATGTACTTTTGTTACAAAATCTAAAGCAAATTAAAACCGATGTTGACAAGATAGAATGCAAGCAGAGTTTCGCTGCGCCTTTTGTGTCATACAGAAACCGAAAATCTTCAGGCACAGACATAGACATCCTATTCGGGGAGTTACACCTTCGGTAAGTTTTTTATTTGTAAAACATTAGACTTATTGTGCATAAAAACTATATTGGAGTGAGCAATGCCTTTCATAAACACATGGTTTTACCAATTTTAAAACTTTTTTATTTGTTGCAATAAGAAAACAGTAACACACTGACTAACGGGCGTTAACACGAAATCGACATCTAAAGTAAATTGATTCAATAGGTGTTAGTTAACATTTATATATGATCATTATCGATACTGCTTTCATGAGGAAACGGATTGTCTCAATTTATTAACATTGTATTTTTTCATCTGGTATTTCATATATATATATATATATATATTATATAGTGAAACAAGTAAAAAAATATTTAATATAAATGTATTCAGAACTAGTCCACCTTATTTATATGTAGAGATTATTTTGTTTTTTAGGGACAGTAAAACGTTCATGGAAACCACTGACAACCAACATAATGCCAGGTAATTATATTTATTCATTGTTTAGTAAGGTGCTCAAAATCAATTCAAGTATCAAGATCGAAACTACAGATGTAAAATATAAAAAACAATCATTTCTCATTAGAGATCAAAACACTGCAAAAAGCACAACAAATATACAAAAAAGAACATTACGTCATTTAGGGTCATTATCAGAGGTTGCAAACATTAATTACAATGTTTTGATAACGAAAGATTGCTGTGGTGATTCGTCAAGACGTCAAAAAGCGTTGACTTTATAGACACCGTAGTTTATTCATAAGATGTATGCCTGAAGAATGTTATATAATGACAAAGTTGGAACTCAGTTTCTATTAAATAATCTATACATTTCTGTTTGGACGATTTTCAGAAATGTCGGTAATAAATCATGCAGTCGGAAAAAAAAAGAATATTCAAAACCTAAGGTATGAGTTATAAAATCGAAAGAGTCATTTTGATGAACATTTAAGAAAGAAAGCATTTATCTAGTGTAAGAATAAAAGGAGATAAGATGCATACCGTATTTGACATAATAAACGCCCTCGGAGCGCAACATTTTCTAGAATGGGGGTGTTTTTTTGGGATATTCAAAGTCCGTGTCACGTTCGACCTGCTTGCAACTAATTATCGTTGTTAGTGAAACAGACTGTAGTTAATGCATGAGAATGGTCATCAGATCTAAATTAGATTATGCAGTCGATGAATCAGTGTCATCAGTGTATTTTCACTACACGTGTATTATAACGGAACTAAGTCTGTCGAGTTATATTAGAGATTATAAAATATCATATTAACAAAAATTGATGGCAATATTAAATGGGTGAAAAATAATATTGCAAAATTGAACAAAAAATATCCAAACGACAAATTTGCGGTTCAACTAAACCTTGAGGGAGGAGACCCAAATACATGTGTTGGACACGTGACGATTGACCACAGCAAAATTTTCCATTTTTTTCAAAAGAGGGATTGCGTGATTTCTGCTGAAGTCACAGGTGAACAATTTTTCAGACACGGTTAAAAGCTTCCTTACAAATTTGACGGTTTTGAAAGTGATTTAGTAAAAATAAAAGTACTTTTTAAATTATATTGCCATCGGTGAAAGACAAAAAAGTGTACAACAATTATGATTTTTTATTTAAACTTAATTAAAGTAATTGAGTTTGCTGAAGGTTAAAGAAAACATGCCGCTGCAAAGTTGTTTGGCATTGATCGGAAAAGCGTACTTAAATGGTGACAACAAAAATTGGATATCGCAAGTGGATCTAAAGGAGAAAAAATTGGGGGAGGTAGAACTGTGGCGTTCAAAGATGTAGATAATAAGCTTATGGAATGGTTCTGTGAAAAAAGGAATTAGGTGTCAGAGTGACAGACAAAGCTATGAGAATTTAGGCAATAAACTTTGATAAACAAAATGGACTCCGGTCATTTAAGGCATTTTTTGGCTGATTTAGACATTTTAAAAGACGCCATAATATTACATTCATGTGGCACAACATTCAAAACAAATAATACATGATAGATTAGACAAGTTTTTAAAATTTGTTATATGAATGCAGAAATTTCGAAATCATAATGACCGATATATTGGAAAAATGGACGACACTCTATAATGCAGTTAGAATACCTGGTTCTTCAACTCTGCCGTGAGAAGAGCAAAAGAAGTAACAGTTTCGTCCACCGGCCACGAAAAGCAAAAACTTGTAGTAAGGTTAGCATCTTTTGCAGACGGAACAAAATTACCTCCGCTAGTTTTTTTTTCCGGAGTTATGCCCTTGCCAAAATCGGACATAACAAATAGAATTGTTGTTAACATGTGTGGAAGTGGAAAACAATCATAGGCCAACTAAGACAGTGTAAAGTTTTGATTAAGAAGGATTTTGGGATTAAACAACCAACATCGACGACTGCTTATTTGGGACTCCTTCCGTGGACACTTGACGGCCAGTGTAAAATATTCACTGAGAATGAGATACAATACAGACATCGCAATATTCACAGGTGGATGCACATCCAAATTTCAACCTGCTGAAGTCTCATGGAATAAGCTATTTAAGGTTGCACTTTGTAAATACAACTGTTTCACAAACCACGCCTCCTTTGGGGAGATATATAGTATTCATATTTTGTTTTGTTTACCTACTGTTTCCCGGATATGATCTCTATGTTTCATCTCGTAGAGACATAACTGGGAAATGATACCAGTATAAATACACATGGATAGCGGCTGATTGAATTCCGAGGAAGATCCAAAGTGAAGGGAGGGGTAGTACAAAATTTAAGTATAAATTTAAACTCTAAGAAGTTCGAGGCATATAAATGTTGAAAATATGCCGCACAGCCCTATATTTTGACCTTTGAAAAAAATAGTAGTGCATATGAACTTTACACAATTTTTTTATGAACCTTCATAGTAAAAGTGGCACAGTTTTCGCAGTAAAAGAGGGACGAAAGATACCAGAGGGACAGTCAAACTCATAGATCGAAAACAAACTGACAACGTCATGGCCAAAAATAAAAAGACAAACAGACAATTAATAGTACAGATGACACAACATAGTAAAAGGAGTTCCTATGGGAATTTGCACTGTCTATATTTACAGAAGGCAACCTTAAAGGTGACCTTATAGACCTTTATAACGAGTGGTTGTTCAATGGAGCGGACGAAGATCGCACAAATGCAAAAAGTCGGCGTCTACCATTTAAGCAAAATATTATGATGTGGATTAAACTGGCATGGAATAAAATTCGTTCCAAATTATACGGAGATCCGTTAAGAAATGTGCCATTACTAATGCTCTTGATGGCACCACGGATAATCATTTCCAAGTAGATGACGATGAGGACGAATCCCCATTTGAAGGTTTTAAACAATCAGCTGTGGACATTGCAGAAGCAGTTTTAAATAATAATACTGTAAATATAAGTATAAGAAGAAGTGGCAAATTTGCCAATGAGACAGCTTTTCACAAGAGACTAAATGACATACAAATTAACAACTATAGATCATCTTCATCTGCAGAAATAATCGAGTGTGAAGGTGTGGACTACGACAGTCCAGGACAGTGAATATCGATGAACGATCTTATGTAAATAATGTAAATACCGTAAAAGTAATTTTAGATATAAGTGTCAGTAAATATCGTAGTGCAGATATATTATTAAAACATTTTGCACTCCATCATTTGTCCATATTGCTTTAACTGGATTTGTTGTTTTACGGATTTGTGGTAAGTGAAATTTTTCTTTTCGAAATTGGGGTGGTTTATTAGGGAGGTGCGTTCATTAGGTCAAATACCACTTTCTTCTAATAGCAACCCACATGACAATAACTTCAAAGACATCTTGCGCTACAATCGGTCTTTGTATTTGATTACAGACAGGTACAATATTCAACATGTTCAAAACTGTCAGTCTCCTGAGTTATAAAAAAAAAAAAAAAAATACAGTTTGGACTAAAATTTGATACATTTCGGTTCAATTCAGTTCTTATTTCTGTTTGCTATTTATCTTTCCTTTAATCATTAAATATAAACCTAATGTCTATTATTAGAATATAGTATCATTGATTATAAAGTCATTTGGTTAATATCATTACCCTACAAGAGCTCATGAGATCACCAGTTTTTGTAGGGGATTGCATTGCCTTATTTTTTCTATTTTGTGTTTTGTATACAGTGTGTTTGTCTTTAATCGTTTTTGTTTTTTGATTTATGCCGTAGCATTATCAGTTTGTTTACATTTTTGAGTTTGTATATCCCTATGGTATCTTTTATGCCTCAGATCTGGTATTTATTATTCAAAGCATGTTGACACACCTTCTTGGTATATGTCTTTTTTTAGTCGCAGTTTAGAAATACCTGTATGTTGTTTCAAAAACGAGGAGTACACTCTGAATTATTAAATTGTAGGCCGCTAGCAGTGCAAGGGAAGTACATATACGAATGTCAGCTATGCGAGTAAGTAAAATAAATGCCACATTGAAAATTTTGTAATATAATTGTCTGAGGTGTGTTTACAGACTTATTGAGTTCGTAAATGTGAACTCAATACAATAGCATTTGTCATTACTAACATCATCATCTGTTATGATAAATATAACATATTAAAATTGTTTGCGTGTATTTAAAAAAAAGACCTTTTTTCCGTTGTCATCTTTCAATAAAAAATAAATTTAGACATTTGAAAATATTGAGGGACAGTGACAATAAATACTAATTTTTCTAAGACATACATTTACGTAAGATGGTTTTCTCTGAGCCCAAACAATATACTTATATAATGATCTACAGTGCTCAGTCCATTCATGAATCAAAATATATGTGGTTATATCAGGGTGATAAAGTTGTACAAATGTTATTTATCTAAGAAAAATATTCAAATTAAATCTCCTTGAAAATTAACAAATAGTTATTTCATTATGTAATAAAGAATTTAAACATAGATTCATTAACGTTTTAAACATATAAGTATTTGATAATAACTCCCAATGTTGATAATTTAGTCAATTTAGATATGCCCAGGTTGTGTAGTTATAGATAATATATATTTTAAGGTTTTTCTTGTCGTATAAAACACCGAGGAGTGTCAATAAGACAAGGAAATCTTTAAAATATGCTTTTTCTGACTTAAATACCGTCAGAAAATATTCTTGTTCGTCATATTTTACTTTACCGCCCACACTAAAGTGAGATATTCTTTTCTGATGCGTTCAGAATTTAGGAGGCCCTACGGCTCATTTATTATCTGAAATAAAACTCACTAATCAATCTAGATATAAACAATGATAAATTTTAATAATCATTATCCGGTTACAGTAAAAATATTACTGTATGAAGCAAGACACAAATGAATTGTTACGGTGTATACAAAAATACAAGTCCCTTTTTAAGTAATTTTATTGTATCAACTTATTTATTAAAAGGGGAAGCTGTGTTCTTTTCTTTTATCTAATGATATTTTTATCGCGGAAAAAACATATTATTTTTCCAACATATTTAGCGAGCTATTCAGAATGATTGTTTTCTCTCTTTTGTCAGGCAATACATTTTTTTGAACTTGGGATCAATGAAATATTATACTTCCCCCCACCCCATTATACGGTACGTGGCTGCCATTCTATAGAACATGAGAATATTTGGTCATTTGATCATTTGAAAGAGGAAAAGTATAGATGTAAAAAGTTAAGAGTTGGTACGAAGAGAGCACGAAATCGTGATACATGTACATGTAACACGAACAACGAATATCTATATATCAAAGTACATTGTGAATTAATGAAATCCTACAAACGGATGTGTTAATATGGCTTGTTTTAAAAGTGTAATGAAAATTGTGCATTATTAAATTCATCTCGCATAATGTCCTTTTATTGTAGCAAAGAATAAACAAAACTTCACATTATTTTTTTCGAAATTTGAAATGTGCGTCAACGACGAATTTTGGTATTTCAATTAAATAAACGGAGGAAAGGATCATTTCTGTCTTAAACCTATTAAAGATTGAAAATCGAAAAGTAAAACCCCAATTGGCAACAGCACACGATAACTATTAAACGAATTAAATGTTAAAGTAAATTATAGATTACATTGAAAACATAGGATATCATTTTATGCCTTGCAAATCTCAGTGAAACTCGGTATCGTCCGGGTTGATTCTTCATATGAAAGACCTATCGTTCTAAAAGAAAATAACCCCATAAAGGTATATACATAGATGTTATTAGTAGAATAAAATTAACAACATACTGAATTTTCTGAAAAGCATTTAAACAGTATTATATTGACTGGATGTCAAATGTCGGAAAGAAATATCTGAAAAATAGTATAAGCATTAACGTTTCAAAAAGTTTTTGGTTCATATATTTAAAATGCTGTTACTATCAAAATCACCATTTCAGATAAAAAAAACCCATTAAATAGATTATCCAAAACAGGCAACACAATAAGTTGCAAAAAATCAAAGAACATACATAAAAGAGAGGCGAAAGATACCAGAGGGACTCTGTAAAATGTAATCTACATCCGATGATGCGTTTTTATTTTAGTAATGAGCAATGTATTATTACTATTAAGAATGTTATCACGTTATCTGGTCAACGACTATATATTCTTCTTTCTTTTGTAAAGATGTATTTGACCTGAGACACTAAACTGGTATAGGCATTGGACATTCTGTAGAAAGTTCAACGTCGATTAAAGGCAACTTGCTATGCATTGCTAACAAAGAGAGGCAAAAGGTACCAAAGGGAAATTCAAGCTCATAAGTCGAAAATAAACTGACAAAGCCAAGGCTAAAAAAACGAAAAGACCAACAGACAAACAGACAAACAACAGCACATAGAACACAACATAGAAAACTAAAGAATGAGCAACTTGAACCCCACCAAAAACTTGGGGTGAACTCAGCTGCTCCGGAAGGGTAAGCAGATCTTGCTTTTTGTGTCACCCGTCATGTTGCTCATATTAGATTAAACCCGGTGATAAGTCTGATTCGATTGGTCACATGCAGGGGAAAGGGGACTGCATTGTAGTTACGAAAAATTGGAACATATTCGTTGTCATCTGTGAAACAGATATTCCATAACGATCAACCAACGCTTGATGGCGCCCGTAAAATTTACGAAGGGATGATTTCAACTTCACGAATTGGAACTTTTGGTTTAATAGCTTCCTTGTGAGCAGCAACACTCTATCAAAGACATCATGATAGGAAACACAAGCCCTCGAATATCGTATTAATTGGGAGATATGTACTCCGTTTGCAGGCGCCGCATGATTGTATGATACAGTCGTTTCTGTCCGGGATTTGCTTTTTGTCCGATAATTTTGCTTTTTGTCTGACACTTTTGATTTTGTTCGTTGCTTTCGGTCCGTTTAGCTTTTTGTCCGTTGCTTTCGGTCCGTTTTGCTCTTTGTCCGATTATTTTGCTTTTCGTCCGACACTTTTGCTTTTTGTCCGTTGATTTTTGTTCGTTTTGTTTTTTGTCTGATGATTCTGTTTTATATCCATTTTAAAATGTGCATATTTTTTGTTGGTTCCATTTGAACGTCGAAACTCCATGACATTATTTATATTACATACAGACCCTATTTCTCTCTATAAATGAGTGGTACATGGAGTTTTTGTTTTTTAATACTTGTCTGATCAGTATGTTCTGAATTTACCACTGGTAAAGCCAAACATGCATTAAAATTGCATTACTATCAGTCCATATCAGTTTGATGACTATTTTGAAGCCCTTCCTCCTAGGTCATGGTCCAGCCCCTTTCAATTAATAAGCAATTTTTAATGTTAAGTTTTCTGCTTAAGTCAGTTTGATAGGAACTATTTGTGATAGATCAATGATGTTTTCTACAAAGTTGCATAACTATCAGTACATATCAGTTTGACGACTATTTTAGGCCCTGCCTCCTAGACATGGTCCAGTGACTTTGAACTAATTAGCAATTTTCAATGTTAAGTGTTCTGCTTAAGTTAGATTGATATAAACTACTTATAATATACAAGGATATTTTCTATAAAGTTACATTAATTGTTTGTACATCTTAGTTTGTCGACCGAATTCAGGCCTTGCCCACTAGATCATGGTCGAGCGACTGAATTAATAAGCAATGTTGATGTCCATCAGATTGTCTTTTTGTGAATTTTATGTGCCTACAGTTTATTCTTAAATCATATGCGACGAAGATCTGAATGATTCAAATTTTGTATACAATGCCTTATGACATCTTTTTCCATTGTTCTTGATTTCATTTTCGTGGTATCGTTCGTGTATAGAGTGATTGTAGGGTGTACATGCCCAACCGGTTGCTTTCAATTGACCATGATTCATTGGTCAATGTTATGTTTTCATGATTCGTTTTTTTTTGTCTGATATTTTTTCAGCAATGGATCAACTACAATTAACGTATGCAATGCTTGTTATTTCTACTCGAATATTGAACGGGGTTTATCAAAATTTGACCTCATTTTCATGTTTCATTAATCAATGCTTATTTTGCATGGTTTTTTTTTAGAAATATCATAGTAAACCAAGTAGATTTTGTGTACATGCAAGTAGTCTGGTTCGTCTGCAATTTACATATTTTCTAGGTTTATTGGTTAGTCTTAAATAATTTGGTGGTTCGTATCTCAGATACTAAATACGATGGGTAGAAATGTTGGTTGTATTTGGGGACTGTAATATGCAGATACTTCCATCATTCATCGATCAATCTTGAGTTCACAATAAGGTTTGTTTCTCAGAAACTATAAGAAATAGGCTAGATTTAATTGACATATCTGACAAGAAGTGTCAATCCGACCTTGACTTCAGTTTCATAGTTCATTTGCCAATTTTAAGATTTGGTAGTAAGTCTGTTTCTCATATAAGAAAAAAAAACATTTATAAAATAAGCATTGATTAATGAAAAATGAAAAAAATTTATAAAAGATACCATGAAGAGCTTTGTCTGTTTGTTTTGTTCACACATTGTTGTCAATATAATGGAATTTTATGCGACTATCATACAAGTGATAGGTTTAGCTAGCTTTAAAACCAGGTTTAATCCACCATTTTCTACATAAGGAAATGCCTGTAACAAGTCAGGAATATGACAGTTGTTTTCCATTAGTTTGATGTGTTTGAGCTTTTGATTTTGCCAATTGTTAAGGGACTTTCCGTTTTGAATTTTCCTTTGAGTTCGGTATTTTTGTTGTTTTACTTTTTTGAAAAAATTGTACAAGTAATCAGTACTTTCACGACTACCCTCTTTAACAAGGAGAAACAATGTGCTCTTTTTTTAGTGACCAGATGAATGTTTTAGTTGCCAATATATTCACTGAAACATAACGGTATTATCCATCGCGTAAAGCTGCATATATAACCATTATTTTTGTTATCTTATATGTTTTACCTTGCACAAGATTCTAAGTCTTTACAAGTACTAAAGTCCTTTTTGAATACCGGAAGTTGTAATTTACAAGTTAGTAAAATTTAGAGTTTCCCTCTCGTGTCTTCTTATGATAAGGGGTATCAAAAATTAAGATAACCTCTACAATTAAAACATCTCTATAAAAATGAAAATTCGTACACAATTGCTATTTGTAGACATCATATCAAACACTTTCAATAGCAACTTAAAAACACAACTTTTTGAAATAAAACATGATAAAATTTATATAAAAAAGAAACTCTTAAAAAATGGAAAAAAACTACTAGGCGGTACCAACCTTACTCTACTAAGGGACAATAACTTATGAATTGCATTGTTCATTACAATTTTGGGTATCAATTTAATGAAAATAACGAAACAAAACTCTATTCACAAAACATACGTGCAGATGTACAAAATGTAAGATAATTGCCTCACAACAAATCTTCAATAACTTAGTATAATATATTATAGTTAGTGGGTTAAAAATTACATATACTCCGTATCCTATTAGGTGAAATGCAAATAACATTTTGAAACAGTTTTTTTTCATTATCCTTTTGAACTCTTCGTTGAATAAAAACATTTAAATTTTTAGTTCCTATTAAAATGTATCCAATATCAAAGTATATAATCCCAAGTTGGAAAAAAACCCAACTTATTGGTCGATAGAATGATCACGGAATTATAATGAGCATTTGCATGACGGAGTATTTGAATGATATGATATAATGATAGCATATACCCTGACTTGCAGTAAACTGTATTTTATTTTTAAGAAAAACAAAGGTTCAACTCTTGAACGATAAATTTGAAAACGGAACTTGACCAATGTTTTATAGCCCAAGACATTGCTTTCAAACGTGAAAACATTTAGTCATAAGGTATTTAATTGTCATCCTGAAACCAAAGAGATACATTTTTAAAGATATCTAAAGGCATTATTCTCGAACGATTACAGTTCAAACAGAATTTGGCCTGTATGTTATAGTCCAAGACATTGTCTAACTTTTTAAATTTGAAAAGATTTAGTCAAGCAATACTTTACATAAAATCCAGAAACAAAAGAAAAAACTATTTCAAAGATTATGTTTAGGCATTTCGTTTGAATAGAAACCGTCAAAATCGAATTTACATGATCAATAATTTACATTCAAAATGATTTTGTCAAGCGGTCTGTTCTAGTCTATTCTTTTCTAGTATATTATTATCTAGTCTATTCTAATATTCTATTACATTTTTTTCTATTCTAGTCTACCATAGTCTAATCTAGTATAGTCTTAGTCATTTTTGTCTGTCTTTTCTATTTTTATATATTATAATCTAGTCTAGTCTAAAAAGTTGCTTGCTTTTCTCACGAAACAGATTTTGGGGTAGATATAAAAAGAATTAGGCAATATTGTTGAACCGGAAACCCATACCAACCTTTTATAAAAGGCACAGGCTACAATTAACCGTAAAAAGTAACAATAAGAAATAATTATTGTTACTGCCGAGACTTATTGTCTAAATGTATTTCCGGACAGGGAATTGATTTTTATACGGAAATTGCATGTAACAATTATATCATTTTTTATGGTTCCCTGCAACTATTGTTACCTGCAAAATTTTACATAAAATATGCAAAGAATGTCTTGTGTTTTTAGCATCTTGATACTTCGTACTGTCTTCTTGTCTTTGCCCCGTATACGTTGTTTTACATATTTTAACAAGTATATATGTATAGAACATTATTTTTTCAACATAGCAATGATAAATTGAAAGCACATTTATACATATTTAGCATTCTTTTAGCTATTTGCTTTGGTGGCACTTCCTGCACATTTAGTATGTAACCTATGGTAGCATTTTGAGGCCAAACCATTTCAGGTGATACCACTTCAGACACCTATCGCAAACTATAGACCCATTTAAACAAAGACATATATGCACGTCTATACCACAAACTAAACTGTTTCACTCTGCTATATCCTTCTTCAGCGATATTTGTTTTTTACAAAAACGTCTATAGAACATGTAGAACTGTATAAAATATGCATCTTTGAACCGTTGGAGGTAATTATTAAAATCTTGAAAGGATATAAACTGTTCACTGATCACAAATAGGACACCCTGCTTATTCGTATCTATACCTAAGAATAGCGAGTTATTTTAATCGACCCCCCTATGGAAAAAGATAACGTCATATTGATCAATAAAACATGAAGTTTAATCATGTAATTGTTTTAATTTATTTCAGATTGTTTTCAAATCAAACATTTTTTAAGATCTGTGCCTGCCTGAATATATTTTTCTTGGTAACAATAAAAAATGATATTATTGTTACCTGCAATATCCGTATGAAATCGGGTCCCTGTCTAGAAATGGTTTCGGCAATTAATCACGGAAGTAACAATACCTGTTTGTTATTGTTACTTTTTGTGGGTAATCGTAGCTAGTGCCTTTATAAAGATAGGAAGGACTGTTTGCGATAGAGAGTAAGTTATTTGTAGAAAACAAGTGTACACAATCGATTTTAAGATTAAACACGTATAACTCAATAACATACATGTACGTCGAGCGAGTTGGTGCACATTCACTCTTTTTTTTTTTGCTCATTCAGTACACTCAATTGTACGGACGCGTCTAACATACTTTTTTATATTTCTTTCTGTGTTTGCGAGATAACACAAACCTTTGCGAGATAACACAAACCTTTGCGAGATAACCTAAACTTTTGTTTTACGACTATATATAAGGTGATATATGTACAAATACATGTTTTTCAAAATTTGGACGTATAGGGTTAAACGAGCTCTAAATAAAAACAACATTTAAGGAAAATCAAAAATACCCTCAACCAGGTATTTATTAACCTAATGTTGACAAAAATGAAGGAATGAATCATAGAAATAAGAAGATGTTGTGTGATTGCCATTGAGATAACTTTCCACAAGAGACAAAATGGCGTTGACGTAAGCAACCATGGCTATGTTGTTGTACGGACTTTAACACAGAGCAAACGCTCACATCGCATAGCAATCTATAAAAGGCCAGAAATGACAAGTGTTAAACAATTCAAAACTAATTTTATAAAACAGACAAACGACATTTAGTGAATTGCAGGATCCTAACTTTGGACAGGAATATATAATATGTGTCGGGGTTTTACCTGTTTTCTGCCACCAAACCCTCCTCCTTATCTGGAATATTGGTGTAATGCTTCACAAATTTTGTTTAAAACTTTTGAGCCTGGGTGGCCGAGTGATCAAAGTAGTTCAACTATTATAGCAATCGCTAGAGAGTCAATACTGAGGTTGTTAGTTCATGCTGATGTGCTCGACTGTAATTCTAATTTACAAGGGTTTCCAGTTTTGCTGCAGAAGGTCGATGGTTATATCACTATATCACATATACACATTTTGATATCGGAAAAAAAGCAAAACGGACCAAAAGCAATGGAAAAAATGCAAAAAATAGCAAAACGGACCAAAAGCAATGGAAAAAATATAAAAAAAGCAAAATAATCGGACAAAAAGTAAAACGGACCGAAAGCAACGGACAAAAAGCAAAAGTGTCGGACAAAAAGCAAAATTATCGGACAAAAAGCAAATGACGGACAAAAAGCACCATATCAATTGTGTCAATAATTTGTCAAAAATTAAGAAACTCTGTAAATTTTTTATATTTTGTACTGTTTTGTTATTTGATATTTTTATTGGTATTTTGTTACAGGACACAACAGGTTTCAATGTAAGTATATGTTTCTGATAATGAAATATAATATAGAAAAAATATAAAGGTTGTCCAAATTTACTTACATTGACATGGAACATGTGTATTTAAGTGTATGCTCTACTTCTACATGCTATAGTTTACTGAATTGTATGCAAGAGTCAAGTAAAGTTTGCTTATATTACAAATTACTTTATCCTTTACTTCAAATGAGAGAATAAGACATACAGTAACTTGACTGTTTTGTCGGAATGAAATTGTACATGTACGCACAAAATTAATGTTTATATGTGCTCTGAAATCATCAATAAATGTAAGCCAGTTTATTTTAGTTGATGTATTATATACTATCTTGTATAATGTCACATATCAAAGTTGACCTAGCTAAGTATTGCTATGAGGTTCTTTTTATCATATAGTTCCTAACTTGTATTCTTTTCATACAACCCCTGGCAATCAAACGTTTTGTTTTGACTGTTCCTGATGATAGTTCGCTTCGGATGCACACAATTTATAGACTGTTATTTTCATAAATATATACATTGATTCATATCAAATTGGTGTTAACACTTAAAAGATCTCATATTTATGCCCATCGTTATGTTATAGATGTTCAGGATATAATTCCTATCTCATTTCTAGTAATGGTATCAGACATTTCCTTACACGAAGGGGGAAGAGGTGATTTAGTATGTGAAACATGATTTGATTGATAACAATTTGTCACAAGGAAGCTATTAAACCAAGAGTTCCAAATGGTGAAGTTGAAATCATCCCTTCGTAAATTTTACGGACGCCATCACGAGTTGGTTGACCGTTATGGAATAACCGTTTCACAGATGATATTGGATATGTTCCGTATGTCGTAACTACAATACTCTTCCCTTTTCACGAATGTGACTTACCGAATTAGACTATTTACCGGATTTGTAATAACATAAGCAACACGACGGGTGCCACATGTGGAGCAGGATCTGCTTACCCTTCCGGAGTACCTGAGATCACCCCAAGTTTTTGGTGGGGTTCGTGTTGCTTAGTCTTTAGTTTTCTATGTTGTGTCATCTGTACTATTATTTGTCTGTTTGTCTTTTTATTTTTGGCCATGGCGTTGTCAGTTTGTTTTCGATCTATGAGTTTGACTGTCCCTCTGGTATCCTTCGTCCCCCCTTTGTTAACATCACAAAACGAATTGTAGCAAAGAAGGTCAATTTAAAGTGTTAGGTTTGCATTGGTTTTGCAATACCTCGACTACTCCTAAATTTTCGTTAAACATTAATTCCAAGAATGTTTCATGACATTTATCAAATCTCGCTATCTGTTACAATTTGTTTTACTTCACATTAGTGTGAAATTAAATATAAACAAATGGAAAACATACTACACTAATACTGTCTTTGTGATTTTTTTTATCTTGCCCTTTCTTCAAATACTTTTTAATTTTCTAGTGTAAAATTTTAATAAAAAAACACTTAAAATACATACAAGTAAAAAGTAAAACTCACACAAAATGCAGAAGACCCAATTGATCTCGAAGCAACCAAAAATTAAAAAAAAGTCCTAGAAAAAGAGACAACACCATGGCAGAAATTAAAACGAGTATACGACAACCAAAACAAAATAAATAAAAGAAAAAAATGCCCCTTAATCGTCGTGTGAGTCTTATAGTGTTCTATGTCTACTTTTGAGAAAAATGGAGATAGCTATATATTTGATATCCTGATTCAATGATACATCTCGATGTAAAACCATAATGTGAAATTTCTACATTGTACAACTTTTGTCAGAACTATACTATTCTATTCCACACCTTTATTGAATTAAGATAACCAATGAATCTAGTTGAACACCGAAAATGCAGAGAAAAATAGTTTTAGAGTGTTGTATCTCAAGTAATTTCGCAGTAAAACATGAGCTATTTAAATTATTTTAGAATTGCTATGCTTAAATTGTTGACATGGTTTGAACTCAAGCTATGACCAATTCTTGGCAAAAACATAACAGCATTGAAGATATTACACAATGCACAAAAGCATGATCTACCTCCAATAGAGATAAAGGGGTTAATGCCTAAAAGAACATTGTCTGTCGTGTAAGAGTGATATCTTCAGGAAAGGAGGTGCTTGATCCAGTTAATGTGCTTAGATATGGGAAGATGTGGTATGAGTGCCAATGAGACAACTCTCCATCCAAGTTACAATTTATAAAAGTAAACCATTATAGGTCAAGGTACGGCCTTCAACACGGAGCATTGGCTCACACCGAACGGCAAGCTATAAAGTGCCCCAAAAAATTACTAGTGTAAAACCATTCAAACGGAAAAACCAACGGTCTAATCTATATAAAAACGAGCAACGAGAAACACGTATGAACTACATAAACAGACGACAACTACTGTAATCAGATTCCTGACTTAGGACAGGTGCAAACATTTGCAGCGGGATTAAACGTTTTAATGGTACCAAACCTTCTCCTTTTTCTGAAACAATATCACAACATAGAAAAATACACTATAAAATATCAATTGGAAGGCTTAACTCAATCAAAAAACGTAAATTAACACACAATGAACGAATAAATTTGACCTGTGACACCTGAATGCAAATACACAGTTAATAAAAAATTACAAGGGATAAATAATTAAAGTCAAAAGTAAATAAACAGGTTTAAACAAAGTTAAAGTATGATATCACTGTAAAATGTCAAACCATTTTTAGAAAATCACCACTTTTTATGTCTATTTAAAAAAACATTGACCAAAGAGTTACTCTTTAAATCCATAAATTCGGATATTCGGAATTCTCTGGTTTTATCCATGTAGTGCCATTAAAAATTGTGCTCGCTAAACCCTTCTTTTCTTTTCATAATTTTATTACATATAGTTTAAAAAGCCATATTTGAAAATCTTATAAAATCCTTGTTATTTTTGCATTGTTTTTGAAAGAAAAAAGGTGTCAATGTTAAATGTATAAAAAATCTAGAGAAAATCATTTCCCGCCAAATTTTCAATGGCTTATATCTCGAAAACAAGCACACGGACCCTTCATTTGTTTTCTGGTTTTCTAGTTCCTTCATTTAGATACTATCAATTTATAACAGTCTTTAAAAAAGCTTGTTATTTTGAAACAGAGTAGCAAACATCCTTAAGCAGCATACCCTGAACATTCAAAGCATAACAGCCAATGTTCTGATGACATTACATATGAGTTGTTCGGATTTTATATTTAGTTGTTAAAAAATGAAAATTCTTATTGAACCATGTTTTGTCAAATATTTTTTTTTGTAAATATTATTTTCACGCTCCAATCTGTAAATTCGCACCAACGTAAATAAACATATTTTTTGTTCAACTGTATTGTATTAATGTTAATTTAGAAATTATTGTGGTTTGTTTATTATGTACATTGGCAAACTCATACTTTAAGTTTTGATATAATTATTTGTATGCACCATTTGCTGAAACCCAATGATTATCTCGAATTTTTGTCTTTTGTTAAATCAAACATTTCTAAGTTTATAGTACGAGATTACGGTGATTTTTGTTATACAAATCACAGTTAGACATGTTTCAAAACATTTCCTAAACTAATAATTTTTCTTATCTTATATTTTAGAGGACAATGTTTGATGATGTAAGTAACAAATATAACTATCATGCGATCTCTCGAGATTAATATGTAATAAAAAACAAGCACAATACAAATATCATTTCACATAAATCAGTTGTCTTGGAGACCAACAAGCAGTTGCCATGCTTAAGGTTTTTATTTTAATTGCAATATGTCGTATTCATACTTTTTCAGTAATTTGTAGTGGTTAACGAGAATTATTTTATAATAAATATATATGAAATGATAGGTTGTTTGTCTGCACAAACGTACAGAAATAAACAGAAAACGGGGGAAAACCACAACGATATATGACCATGCACGTCGACATGATTACCGTATCCTCTCAATTCATTCAACGTCACATCATCGTGTGTTTTCATTTAAATTATGGTGTCGTCTGTGTTTGACAATTCTTATGATATCTTTTCTCACATACATTCATATGCATTTGCATATATTGGGATGCGTCCCTCATGGAGGTCGATCCAGAAAAGCACACGCGACGCACGACCTAGGTTTTTTTTCTTTGTCTTTTTGCATTACCATTATCATAACTTTTTTCTGAAATATTGTCATTGTATGCCACATATCATTTATAGACCGATGGCAGGTTAAGTAAAATATACATAGTTGTAATTGTAAATTAGTCGGTAAAAGTAGTAATAGAACCTTAAACATTTTAAACTGATTTAACAAAATGAATTGTGTTCGATTACACGAATGATGCACTCTGAAAACATATTAATATTGAAATTGCGTCTTTCTGACTTTGAAACAAACCGTCTAACGTGTACTGAGGTATCCTGAACGGTAAATATTTGTTTTGTTAAACACAGATTGATCTTTTGATCGATTATGTATGGATATGAGGGAGACAAAAATGCATGTCCATCAGAAAAATACGCTTTATTTTGTATTATAGCTGTTTCCATATACTAAAAATATCAAATATATTTATCCCTGGATGACTGTTTGATAGATATCTCTACTGAATATTTTTCAGAGCGTGCAATAACAGTGAGTGTCTCTCGTAAGTATTTCCTCATTTCAAAGTAAAACAAAAAACAAAATCAGCTAAGAGGAAAAAAAAACTTATTCCTAGTCCTCTACACAATTGAAACAAACAATGCGAACGCCCTTTCCGACAAATAAAGGCAACAGTAGTATATCGCTGTTCAATAGCCATAAATCGATTAAACGAAAACCAATCCGGGTTACAAACCAAAACCGAGGGAAACACATCAACTATAAGAGGAAAACAACGGAACAACAGAAACACTGAACTGCAAAAAAAAAAAAAAAAAAAAAAAAAAAAAAAAAAAAAAAAAAAAAACAAACGCCAACATACAGAGAAACGGACTGTCTGATAACAACTGCCATATTCCGGACTTGGTGCAGGACATTTAGGGAAAAATCTTATCAGTTGTTTTAGTTGTTTTACCTGTAGTGAACATATCAAAATTAAAAATAACAGAATGTGGTGTCGTGGTGGTGTTTGTTTAACGTTTAAAAATTCTTGCATATCTGTCATTTTCAATTAATCAGCATCGAATATTGAAAACAACAATTTTGACCGTCATTTAAGTGGTGAGTGGTGTCTATTAGAAAATATCCTGTGTTCAGTATTCTAATGTATAAATTTTTCATCATATGTTATTAAAGGTATGGGAAGAACCGTTGGCATGCTTATAAAGGAAACACATAGAACCATATAGCAACCCAAGATTAAATGGCTATTTGAATACAGAGTGACAGTGTTTTTAGGCCAACCATCAATGAAGGTCATCATATGAATAATTTAATTGTTTTTGTGTAAAATATTTATTTTTCTATTTAATTTACCAGAAGAGATGTTGTTTCTATAGCAGTAATAGTCTCCTCCAATGATTTACTTGACATTTTAAAATAAATTAGTTAAAACAAAACCATATTTTCATCAACCGCATATATTTTTATGATGATTTATATTACTTTATTTATCCTATTGGAATAATAAATAAATAATTTTCATATTTATTCTTTACTTTGTGCAAGTTCCGTCGTATTGTGTCGGGGTTAGCTGTATTGGATTGAGGCGTACACACAATAAGATGGCAAGAAAACGGCAATACAGGATCAATATGAAAATTATTTACCAATGATTTGATTTAACCACTAGAAGCTTACTGGGAACAAAACGATTGCATGCAGATTCATACAGGATCAATATGAACTAATATAAATTAGTGTACTTAAATGCTAGGAATGGCGAAATACCTTGAATATTATAATGTGCGATGAAATATCGTTTTATTTATCGGCGAATAACTCTTTGGTCTTTTTATTTGTCCACGAATTATCTCCAATTAAAATGACGCCATTGGCGTATGCATACAAATTTCGAACGACCAGGTTTACAGAGGTCCTACTAGTGACGAGGAAACACATATTAGACATTCATCTAGTGCCGATTATACATTTGTTAGTTAAACCGACTGCTCTTTGCAGGTCCATCAACATTTGACAAATAGAGTCTACCTTTGCTAAACTTATGTTTTAGATTCATATCTACAAAAATATCACCCAGGTATATGTGATTGTTTTGTACAACATTTGTGTGGTCAACACATCAATGTTATGTCACAATTTATACGTGGCCCCATGCTCGAGTAATGCACTAATACATATAGAATATATGTATATTGTTGATAAATATGAAATTTATTTGTACGAGCTTAAGAAACAGGACGGAAAGCGAGTCTCACCGAGCTTTTCTCTTGTTTCGTAGCGAGTACAAATACATTTTATATTTCCGACAATGTACACATTGTTTTATCCTGTAATTTACTCCCGGCACACGAAAGTTCGGTTGTTTGAAACTATATAGTTGTCTCTGATTTTTCAAAGAAAGCGAAATAGTTTAAACGCGGACCTAAGAAAGGAACCCAACATGAACTGTTACCAAAAAAGAAATATTCACATTACCGTATGCTCAACATGGGAGCGGAGTAACTGGAGACGTTATTTGTACAAGTACAAATAAAGCATAAATTTATTCGTGTACCTGTTATTTGTACAACAGTTGACTGATTGCAGGATAAGACGATTTGTTTATGTATATAAAAAGGAAGTAGGCTGGAGGTTAAACATGATGTGTTGAGTTTGTATTAAATATCAGAGTATTTCTTTATATATCCGGTTATATTTGGCCCACTTATGTAGTATATCAAAGATAATGCTGTAAAAGAGAGGCGAAAGATACCAAAGGGAGATTCAAACTTATAAGCTGAAAATAAACTGACAACGCCATGGCTGAAAAAGAAAAAGACCAACAGACAAACAATAGTACACAAAACACAACATAGAAAACTAAAGACTGAGCAACACGAACCCCACCAAAAGCTGGGAGTGATCTCAGGTGCTCCGGAAGGGTAAGCAGATCCTGCTCCACATGTGGCACCCGTCGTGTTGTTCCTGTTAGTACACCAGGTAATAGGTCTTATTCGGTAGATCGCTCATATATTAATATTAGATTTTGAAAAAAAAAAAGAAGTTTTTTTTTCAAGAGAGTGAAAAAAACTATGTGTTATTTTAGAACTGAATGTCAGGGTGAATTATTATCGAATCGAACGTGACTAGAGTATAGTGTTTACCAATTTGGTTTTTAGGTATAAGTATTTTGATAAAACTAGAAAAAAAATTTCGAATGATATTATGGCATTCGTCTTGAAAAATCAGTGAAGACTATTGCCTCCGAAATCAAACACTTGTATTTCTATAAATAAAACCAATTGTTAGTATAGACACATCTGGTAAACGTACATGATTATTTTTTCTTATAACGGTGAGGATCAACTATACTATCATTTTTTAAACGCACTAAAGACATATGTTACTATATTCGTTATAACATTAATTATTAAACGACTAAACTTGGGTCACATCCATGAATAGTAACAAATGAAGAGTTACAAATGGGAATGTATACAGCTTTGAAAAATTCAGCTACACATTAAAAACTTCTCTTATCACAACAATTATGTATTCACAAGTCAGTTCGAATCGGTCAGAATAAGACCTTGGTACGCTGTACGAGCTCTTGTGTAAAACCATGCGCTAAACCTATATATACATTTTGGTTTTTATATCATCGGATTGCTATCCAATTTGCATATACCTATATATTTTATGCAAATGTTATTTATTCTATCAACCTTATTTGAACCAACCTTTAAAACTGTTATTGTCGTGTTATAGACCATCGTGATTTAATATGGTACAGGTTCAACAATGCATACAAGACGACCTTTTTCTTTCTTATTATCTGTATTGGGGACAAAGAAGGCAGTGACACAGTGCACAGCGCATACATTGTGTATTGCAAATCTGAATAAACATTTATGCTGGCCCTATTCAGATCACTTTTAAGTATAAACTGTTGATAGTTCAATCTAATACAAAGAAAAATTATCAAAGCAACAACATGTAGATGTCTTGTAATTCCTTAAATTTTGGTGCATTACCATATCTTTAATAGGCGATCCTACAAATCTTACATTCTCTGAATCTGTAATGGAAAGTAAAATATCCTTAGTAATGTTTACAAATCTTACGTTCTCTGAATCTGTAATGAAAAGTAAAATATCCTCAGTAATGTTAACAATGACAATAATGACAATCAATTATCATAATAGACAAAATATCAAAATATGCAAATTTCTGTTAAAGTAATATTTCGGAAGGTTTCGTATCGTCTTTTTTCGTTTATTTTGCCACAGCATTGTCAGTTTGTTTCCGACTTATGAGTTTGAATGTCCCTTTGGTATATTTTGCCTCTCTTTTGTATTGTATTGTATAAATGGCTGATTTAGACACCTTAAAAACGTATCAGCAATGTTTCACTTTAAACATGAACAAATTAAGTCGACGATTTAATTGTTGTTTCTTATTTAGATTAAAACAATTAATTACCTAATAAACAAACTGTGTATGAATAGATGATCCGATCAGGGTCAGTATTTAATTCTACAAACATTTTTATGATAAATTCCGTTGCTTTATGTGCATTTTTCTTAGGTCCTACAAGAAAAAAAAACATTTTAAAGCGTACGTATGAGGCCTCGGTGCTCAAGTGGTCTAAGTACTTCATCTTCAGTGATTCCTAACATGTAAACATTGAAGTTATGAGTTCAAACCATGTTTCGGCAAGGTATGGTTGACTCAGACCTTCATTGACAGGGATTTCAACTTTTCCTGCCAAATCACGGCAGTTCTCTCTGATCACTCTGTTTTCCTCCAATAATAAAATGTGATTGCCAAAATATAGACAATAGCATCAGACAACATCCATCAATAAATGTGGATCTCGTTCAATATCATGTGATCCATTCTTGTTATCAAAAGGGACCCCAAAAAAACTTGCATATATCACTGGTTGGGGAAAGAAACATAAGGAAAATTCTCGATAAAAGGTAACTCCATATTGTTTAGTCGGAAAATACAGTTGTTAGTAAAATGTAGTTTGACATTTTCTAGAAATGTTCAAAAGTCAAATGCAACATTAAATAATGTTCCTTATGAGTTGTTGCCTGCAGACAATATTTGATATTGAAATACTGTAAATAATGTTCTTAACATTTTGTCATTTTGAAATAGTGATCTTCGCTGTAAAATTTTGTCTAATTGATCGGGACAATATTCCATTGTGAAGTAGTTTCCATGTCTCAGTCCATGACAATATTTTACTATCGAATACTGTCCCTGACAATATTGTACCGTGGAATACTGTCCATAAAGTGTCCATGACAATATTTCATAATCAAAGCCCGTAGAGAACTCCTCCGCCATAGCATTGTAATTTTTTTATCTAGATTCTTTAACAGATTGTCCATGAAAGTATATGTATAACCGTGAAAGCTGCATTCATCAAATAATGTTTGCCTGCATTATTACACATTTTTTTGTATTCATTTCTCATTACATATTTTGAAAGGTGTTAAAGTATTTCATCTATCAATCAAATGAAATATTCGATTTATTTTAAAAGTCTAGAAGGAAGTAAGTGTCCTCTTTAATATTAGAAAAAAATATATTCAATTTCTTGATTGTTTGCTTAAAAGTTGTACACACAAACATAGTTCGCAACTTCCCTCCTTCCCTCCCCCGGGCCCCTGCCCCAGTTTATAGTTGACGAATATAACTGTAACTATTTATATTGTGTTCGTTTGTTGTACATACTTTAATGATGTCATTCTCCAATATATATATTCATATAACTTCCCTTTAATTACAAACACTTTCATAGCAATCAATTAATACGTTTTGTAATTTTTTTCAATATTTGGGCCTCGAGCATCATTAAAGAGACATTATTTGTCACAATGCGCAGCTGGTGCAATAATTTAGGTACATGTACCGTTAATGTTTTAATGAAATATTGTTTCAATATAGACACATATAACGATGGAAATCCTCATTTTAACGATTCGAGATTTTATAACTACATGTATCAAACTATGAAATATTGTCAATATAAAATCAAAATTCCGTACGTTAACTGGTCCTTCCCTGGACATAATTTCAAAGATCGTAATCATAATTGTTTTATCCTTAGGATAATATATCATAAGACAATATTTTTTGGAGTCTGAATGAACCAGAATGTTATTTATTTTGTAGAACGTACCAAAACTACGCCAATTTAACGAATCACAGTAATAAAATAAGAGAATTGTAGGGACAAATTTTTACAACACCACTTGAATTATGAAAAAAAATTAAAATGCTTATATAATATAATAGTATTAAGCACAATGAATTAGGTGTGAATATAGTTTTTACTTTTTTTAGTTCGAGGGAATCCGTTATATAATATTTAGCTGGATTGTTACATGCAGAAAAAAATTAAGATGTTTTTTTTGCACACCTATCCATATCTAATTTATGAGTTACACCGTTTTCAACAATATTTGCATTTTCAAACAGTACT